AGTCAGATGTCCGTATGCACAAAGGCACAGATCCCTAAACAAGGCCATATCTGCAGATTAAACTTTTTTTTGTAAAAGCATTTTTTTAATGTGAACTAGCACCTCATGACTACGCCACGTTATTTATGTACAAGAAGCTGCAAAAGACACAGGTGCAAGTGTAATGCACAAAACATGGTGACATTAATTTTGAAGTAAATATAATGGGAGCTCTTTCTGTTTCCTTGTAATAGGCTAGCTGTAGACAAAAGCCTATAGTCAAAGGAAATATTCCAAACAAAGTCACAGCTGAGCCTCTGCGCATCTCCACGCAAACACAGCGGTGTTTCGTTTATGAATGAACCTGCGTTTTTTTATGAATCTAGTGAGTCAATGATTCAGTTACCCATTCATAAAACAGTCACTCGCTTTGTTCCTGAACGAATCAACTGTTTGAACGAAACATTAAACGAATGATTCAGTGACAAAGACAGAGATTTGCTGCCACCTACTGACAGTTTTAGTTTCAGTTTTAAAGTATCATTTCAGTTATTTCAATCATTTAGTATTTCTTTATTCAAAACTTTATATTTAAAACATTGATTTCATAACATTATTATGATGTTAAATGCATTCATGCCACCTCCCAGCCTCATTAAATAGTCTGTAAACATGTGGAAATGCTGCTTTTGTGTTTTTCTGTTTCACCTCTGTAGTGTAAAGATGAATTTCGTAAAGATGAGACGTTTTTCCACTGCTTTCACACAGCTAAAACAGACAACGCGATCACTTTCCTCAATGTAATGCAGCCACCTCCATTTGTCGAACCAGTTTGTACTGAATGAACGACAAAATGTCTCTTTTCCGAACTGCCTTCCAGGAAAACTGAAGTTGGCTGGTTGGTGTGGAGTGATTGCCTTGACCAAATCAATAACGCTAGTATTTTGTGCTGGTACTGCCGCGGCGGCGACGTTCATGTTACCTTGAATTAGCGCGGCTCCTTAGCCCAGATCCGGGGCTGATGTGGTGGTCGCTTTGGAGGAGCTGTTGCAGCTGCTTCTGCTGGTTGGCTGCCCACTAGGCATAGGCTCCAGGTCTGCTTCCTTATCCGACTGATCCGCCAGCTCAAGGCTCGGTCTCTTTTTATTTTGTTTGGGCTTTGCGAAAAAATCAGAAATGCGTTTTTGCGCCATGTTGACTGGTGTATTTTTAAATCTTCAATGACGGATGCGGACGTGGTGACGTCACGTGACAATTGTTGCTTATTGTCATTAAGCTTTTTTCCCCTATGATTTTAATGAATATTCAAATTAATAAAATTTGTTTTATTTATTTTTTGTTACAAAATTTAAATTTATTTCTTTTTAACACCGCACCCCCAGCACCCCCATTTTTTCTTTAGCTCCAAGCCAGGGGGTGCTGCAGCACCCCCAGCACCCCTACTTCCCGAGGTAATGATTCTGATCCAAACTGCGAAAAAGTGACAATAGCAAAAACTCCTATGAATCATTCTTATGCACTTGCACACACATCTTTGATTGCTGACGTTTACACCATTTTGTTCCTCTTAATTCAGGTGTCATGTTATCATTTGTGTCTGTATTTGCCATCAAGTGTTGAGTTGTATTTCATATCTGATGACTCAAAGGCCCTGTTCCGTCTCGCTGGCAGTCTGTGCTTCAGCCCCCATCTCCCATGTACTGGCAGCCTCATTAGAGAGATGAAGCCTTAGTGTAATGAGAGAGCATGAATGCAGGTCGCTCTGTATCGGCTGTGACTTCCACTGCTAAACAAAACACGTGCACACAAAACAACCCCAAGCTTTGACTGCCAGGATGTTGTGCGCTGAGGAAAAGACAAAACTAGGCCATCTGTGCTTGAGCTGCAATCACTGCCATTTTATTAACTGTAAACGTTCTCGCTGTCCCTCATTCTTTCTCCTCTCTCTCTTGCTCGCTCCCGCAGGAGTTATGGTCAGTAAGGAGGCAGGCTGCTGCACTCTGTCAAGCTCAGAGTCTGACTCGGAGTCCGGCGGTCCTTTGCTGGAGCGGAGCGGAGCAGACGTGGTACGCAAGCGAAACAAAGCCCTGCAGGTGCGTTTTAAAGACATCTGCGAGGCGCAGAATGAGGCTGCCCACCAAGGTGCCAGAGACCGCTCTGTTTCCTGCAAGGTCATCCACCGGAGGTACATGACCATGCCGGCTCGCCGCTCCATCCCGAACGTCACCAAGAGCACGGGCGTGCAAACCTCGCCCGACTTGAAAAAGCGTTACCAGACTTTCCCCTTTGAGCGCAAGAAGGGAACAGTAATCAAACACACCGCTCTAGTGGAGAACTACCCTAAGCAAAACAATGGCTTTTTGAGTGACGTGAAGGGGGAGGGGGGGGGGACAAGGTATGACGGACGGGTGCAACAGACCCGAGTGTTGCTCCACACTACGCCACAGTGCAGCGACGCTAAGGACTTGTGTGTTGGGCCGGACTGTTCGGATGGGAAACTCTGCCCTGATCTGTCAGACACGGTTTTAGATCAGTCAGACTCAAGGAGAGACACCAACGTCCTGGGGAGTGGGGCCAAGCACAAAGGATTACCCAGTGAAAGCGAGGCAGGGGCAGGCCTGCAGCCCAACTGTGCCTCCTCAACCAAGCTGACTCAACCTCTGCAGGTCAGGGGTGACTGTTCAAAGATTTCTGGCCCTATTGCATGGACATCCTTGACACAAGTGGAATGCCCGGAGAGTCCCTCAGGGAGCTGCAAACGCAAAAAAGACACAGCGCAGCTGAACGGATTGCAGGCGCAGTCTCAGGCTTTGCCTCATTCTGCGAGTTGCGCTTCCCAGGCCCACATACAGGCCCACTGTCACAGTAGCCAAAACTTGGGCACCGCAGAGACCCGGCAGGGCACACAGGGGCATCTGTTTGCTCTCCCTGGGGCCGATGGGAATGTGAAAGCTAGGCTTCAAGCCATGGAGGCTCTGATCAACTCTAGTCAAGAAACCATCAAAGTGCTGCTGGGGGTCATTCAGGAGCTGGAAAGAGGAGAAGCACAGCGAGAGGGGTGAGTCATAGTCTTTATGTAACGTATTTACTATTCATCAACTGTATTTGTGCAGTTTTTGTGTTTCGGCTTGTTTTCTCAATGTGAGAAAGAAAAGATAATACCAAAAATACTAAGGCTATTGAACACTAACATTTTCTCTGAGATTAATTAAAGGGGTGCTATTATGGACTAAGAGGGGTCCTAATATTGAACAAGAGGATCCCGCAGAACCTTTGCACGCATGGATATTGCAAGACATATTAGAGTGGTAACGTTATTATTGTTTTTTTTTTTTTTTCTCATAATTGAAGTGTAAATTCTGCAGATTACATCATTATCCAGTATTGTATTGTCACTTGACGCTACAGCAGCTCTTCTTCTTCTTCGTTTTCTCTGATGCACTAACTCTGCAGCAGCACTTCTTCTTCGTCCTGGTCTTGTCTGATGCACTCAACTAAGCGTTCTAACCACGACCTCGCCCCTCCCCACCCCCCAACCATTTGAATTTCCATAGACAGGAATTATTTTAATGATATTCTAATGGACCGCTTTGTGACATGACAGTACCCCGGAAAACAATGCTGTTGTCCAAACGAGCCGTTCGTTGTAGTTCTTGAAAAGGGATTTTTAAAAAATGAAATATCTCCCTTTGGAGTGGACTTTGAGATTTATAACTTTGTAGAACTTTTTATGCCCAAACATACACACTACACACTGACTCGTAAACTCGTATACAATAAAGCACTTATAAAATGATCTGTCATACCTGATTTATGAATGAAAGGCAGGTGTGAAGTCAGCAGGGAATATGTATTCAACTCAGCAATTTTAATTTCCCTGCATTTATGGTGTTAGCGTCGAACAGGTTTAAGGTCGAACAGGTCTGTTTATAACAACTGTTTATAGCTTTTAAATGCACTTCAGCTCCATTTCCATGTCAGCATCTATGGTGAGTGGCAGAAATTCAGGGTTATATGGGTTGTGGTGACTGTTGAATTTGGAACCTGCAAAGCAAATGAGGTGAAAAGATGCTTCAGTGCCTGTTGAAAGCCACTTGTGCAGCAACACGAGGACACTTCAATGTCAGATGTCATCTTGCATTCACTAATACCTGATGCTCCACAAGCACAGAGCCAACCTCACTTTCTCTCTGCTGCCTCTGACGGCCCGCCTGATGAGAGGAAAGAACTCGATACAATCAGCGTTCCTCATGTTTAATAATGCCCCTCCATTAAGTGGATGTCTCTTCTGGTTGGGATGTTGGAAGCTTAGAAGTGCTTGCCTCAGCTGTTGGCCAGACGGGACGTGACAATTTATTTAGTAAAGGTCGATGAGAGGGGGTTCTGGAGATATTAGCAGCTCTTAATCCCTGGTAGACATCCAAAATAAATGTTAGGCGTTTTATGTTTTTTTTTTTTTATACATGTACATTATTGTACAAAAGTTTGAGGTCAGTAAGACTTTTTTTGATAGAAATTAATTATTTTATTCAGCAAAGGTGCATTAAATTGATCGAAAGTGACAGTAAAGACATTTACAATTTTACAAAAGATTTCTATTTCAAATAAATGCAGTTCTTTTGAGATTTATATTCATTAAAGAATCTTGAAAAAATGTATCAAAGCTTCCAAAAATATTAAACAGCAAAACTGTTTTCAACATTGATAATAAGAAATTAAAGGGGTCATATGATGTTGCTAAAAAAGAACATTATTTTGTGTATTTGGTGTAATGAGATGTGTTTATGCGGTTTAAGGTTAAAAAAACATTATTTTCCACACACTGTACATTATTGTTTCTCCTCTATGCCCCGCCTTTCTGAAACGCGTCAATTTTTACAAAGCTCATCGTTCTGAAAAGCGAGGTGTGCTCTGATTGGCCAGCTATCCAGTGCGTTGTGATTGGCTGAATACCTCAAGCGTGTGACGGAAATGTTACGCCCCTTACCATACTGTGATGCCGTGTCCCGGCGCGACATTTGTTGTATCCAGTGGGGACATAATTAGTCAAGTCAAGTTCAAGTCAAGTTGAGCTTTATTGTCATTCTGCTGCATGTGGGGACATACAGTGGAACGAAATGTCGTGCCTCACAGGACCACGGTGTTACATAAATACAGGCATACAACAATGAAGTAAAACAGTAAAAACCTATACAGTAAAGCAGTAAAAACCTATACACAACTAACCTACTGACTGATTTTGATTATAAATATACTATATATATATATAAATGTTTACCTATACATAAGTTAAAAAAATACAGACTATACGGATGCTTCACATAAACACTGTACCTATACACAGCTAACCTACTGACAGATTTTGACTATGAATATACTATATATAAATGTTTACCTATGCATAAAAAAAATAAAATAAATAAAAATAATGATAATAATAATAATATAATAATAATAAAATAAAATACAGACTATACGGATGATTCACATAATACTGTACATGTGCAAAGAGAAACATCGTAAGTCAAGCAGCTGGCTGGGGA